AAGCAACAGCTGTATGGGGAAACACTCCCACAGGCAAATACTTCTTGCTCAACCCTTTTCTATTGCTGGACATGACACCAGAGAGCATGAAATAGCCATTTGCATAGTTTGGGTGAGCTGTTCTGGACATCTTCCTGCCAGGCTGCCTGCCCTCTCCCATCCTGCCAACTGCAGGAAGAGCTAAGAGGAAAGAAAAGAAGCCTTGATACTGTTCAGCAATAGCCAAAACATCAGGAAAAAGTCTTTAATTTGAACCAAGATTGATGATTGTAAAAAGTGTGAACATTCTTGGTAGCACAGGCTGTCCAGCTTTACTGAATCGGTTATTTGAAAATAGATAGATTTTATGTCAGTAAAGAATGGAATTTTGCCTTCTGTTGAATTACAATTTGCCACCAGTTAAATTACACAAATTTCAACTTTTCTCTATCGGTGCTCTTTGTTATTGTCACTATGTGAGACAGCCATGATGAGGGATGTGGTAAGGAATGTTTATAGCATAACCTGACCCCGAAAGCAGGATGTGGTGCTGCAGTAGTAGAATGTGTGTAAATACTCAGTAATCTTGTAGCTTTCCCTCTATGCTATTAGTTTTACTTTCTTTATTCCACAAATTTTACACTCTTAATTATAGGGAAAAAAGATTTTATTCAGTTACTTGGCAGGGTACCTAAGAAGCAGAACACCCTAGGATATCAACAGAACAGTTTAAGATGTGTTAAAAATGAGTGGGACAAAGTTATTGTACTAGCTTTTATTGTTTGTTTCCCTAAAGAGAGGTGAGACAGCATTCCTGACAGCTTTCATTAGTCAGATGTGTTTTGTAATTAGAGTTGAGATAGGTGGCTGTTGTTCTGATCTGTCTCCAATTTCTCTGCAGGTGCAGTCACACGGAACATACAGCTGCTCTGTTACTGTGTTTTAACAGAGATGGACCCAAATGAAGAAAAGAAACCAGAAATCAAATCCAACTAAAGTTTAAAGCCATTACAAGAAGCAGGAGGGAGGACAAAGCAATTACACAAACAAAAGGGAAGAGCTGGAACTGGAAGACACAGAAAAACTGGTGTTGGTGGTCTTTCAGAAATGCTGAAAATATTCTTACTTGCAGATGGATTCCAACATGGGTCATGCCCTTGTGTCATCCTCCTAAACTATGGCATGTTTTCAGGGCAGGTTTTCATTGGATAATGATTACCTACTCATTACCTACTCACACAAGCTGTGTGTCAATGCTGTTTCTTTTTCGGAATCGGTACCAAAATGGTAAGAGCTAATGGATCAAATTAGATTTCAGCAGAAACAAGTGGTGAAGTAATGCATTATTACATCAGACTAAAACCCACTTTGACTCCAAAGACTAAGTAATTTCCAGCTTAATTCTGATGGATGCTTGCATGAAATGATTTGCTGTACTGTCTCAGTTATTTTCTCAGAAGAAAACTGGTCACAACAAACTACTTCATTTGTTTTTCTGCCCCTAATGATAAATTAAGTTCTGCTCCGTTATTTATAGACTGAACCATGCTACATGGAAATGTATCCGACTGTGGCAAGGATTTAATCAACTAAATCACCTTGCCACTGAAGATTTGATTAATGGTTGATTTTTTTTCTTGTTAACTCTTTGGTACTTTGTGTTGTATTGTGTTCTCATATGTTTTAGTTGCATAAAGTTATACTTTGGTTTATACCAGTTTCCCCCTGTTATAATGGTTCTGCCCCTGCTGCCTCCTCCCTCCTTTTTATGTCAATCTCCCTACCTGTTCCCCAAAAGTGGCTGAATCCTTCCCTTAACCCCTCCCCAGTATCCTGTCCATCACTCAACGGCCCATCCCCTCCCTCTAGAAACTTCTACCAAGGGCGTCGAGTGATAGGTTCAGGCATTGGGACCCCTCCCTCAGGTGGCCCTTATTGGCTCCCCTACCTACCTGTTTCCCTGGTCCCCACACCCTCCTGTAACCCCATTGGCAGGTGGGCAAACCCTCCCTGGTTTGCTCCCCCCCTTTATAACACCCTGCACACCCTAAATCGTCATTTTCAGTTGGCTGCAGCTGCTGGGTTTGGGCTCTGCTTTGAGCTCGGCAATAAACCTGGGCTTTGACCCTGATTGGGGTCCACTCTCCTCCTTCTCCCTAAGTCATGCTGCTGCCTCATCCCAAAGGTGAAAGCCTCAGCTGCTGTCCGGACCTCCTGAGGAACAGGGGAGAGTGTCCCCTGCAGTGCCAGAGCAAGCCAGGGTGGCTGCAAGCACCCACTCGGAGAGGCACTGCTGCTGCTTTGTAAATCTCTTCCAGGTTTTATGAAACTTCCAAAGTTAAAATGTTCAGTTTGAAGTCTGTGAACATTTGTTTGTTAATTGCTTCAGTGAAGACACAGTAGCTGAGTTACCTCAGCAGAGAGAAAATTCCCTTCATGAATTTAAATGCTGTTCACTAAAAAGTGGCCATCTAAAACCTCCTAGAAACCACTTTCTATAGCAGAATTTCTATGGCCAATACTAGATCTTGACAGCTAAGTAGCAGGGAGAAAAACTAGAAATAAAAACAAAAGTAAAGGGTACTACTGCAGCATAGACATGCTGATTCATAGTCTATGTATAAATTCCAAAGCTGTAAGCCTGGAGTCAGGGCTGTTTTGATACTGAATTCTGGTGCAGTAAAAGGCAACAAGAAGCCTGTTTGTCTGGAAAAGTGAGGTATGTATTTCAAAAACATACCTGAGATTTTTACCTTAGTTCAGAATGCCTGTCTCAGTTGACCTGAGTTTGGCCACATGTATGGTTTTGTGCATTTAAGTTGAACTAAATCTTGAAATGACAAGATTATGGCTGAAGTAATACACACTTCAAAGGGTGCACCACAGTTGCATCAGTGACCTGAATAATAGTGGGGATAATTTGGATTTTTGCACTGCCTTGTTAACTTTTCTCTGAAGCAAACAAAGATACCTTGTCTCCACTCCTTTTTGTTATTACTAGTCAAGACTGATTGGCCTACTGCTGCAGCCTCCAGTTCATGAGTAACATTGACCAGCTAAGAGCTAATCTTATCAGCTGTTTTTGACAGACTCAAGTAGGAGAGTGCTGAAATACTTCATGTGTCCAAACAGGTACAATGGAATTGTTTAAAGATCTAGAAATGCAAATTAAAATTGTTACCTAGGTTCAGCTCTGCCAACTTCTGTGATTTTTAAATGAGTAAAGAAAACTTGGTAAAAAAAAAAATTATTTACAATTGGAATGCACGTTGTTCTACTTAAATTGTTAAACTACTGGGGAGAGTAATGGACAGTCAAGGCATTTCATATGCTCAAACACTTGTCACTTGTGAAGAAAGTCACTTGACGTTTAGGAACAAATGAATTAGAAAGCAGTAGGATAGGGTGCCTTCCAGGACTTCCATTCCCCATCAGGGCAGACACATCGATCTTCTTGTGAAACCTGATATATTAGGCATGACTGGAAGGGCTGCTGCCAACAGTACCTCCACATCTGTACGTTTGCTACAGGTATAAACTCTTGGGCATGCAGCTTTGGGAAAACAAAAGTAAAGGTCCCACAGATTCAGGCAACAAAAACCCTCAAACTCCTCCCAGTGATGATTATGTAGTAGGAGAAGAAAATCTATTGCGGCGCGATTTTGTAGGGTGACTTGCCTTGTTGTTTTGTCATCTGCCAGGAGGTCAGAAAGTGCAGCTGATGAAATATTTGCCTTTTTAGCAACTCAACACTCTAGGTGTGACAATTCACCTCGAGCTTTGGCTGCAGACACCCGTGGCAAAAATACGGTGATTGCAACACCTTTTGGTTCAGGCCAATGTACGATTTCAGAATCACTATTTGGGTCCAAATTCCTTAAGTTTCTCTTTTTGTGGGCTGAATTGTGGGCACTGGTTTTGGTTCACCAATCCATGATTTGGGTCTTGTTGGGTGTAAACAGGTTTAGCTTTCCAGTGGTGCATGGACCTCCGATCAGATGAGAAGGGATGCCCTGCCCACACTCTGTCACCACAAATGAGGAAAAACCCTTTAGGGAGGGCACGGGGCTTATTATCAGGGGCGATGACATCTCCACATGGGAAAGGCTGGATGGCAGCTGTTACCCTTGTAGGGCTGAGCTTCAGCATCTCTCCAGGCAGAAATTCAAGCTTCACTTACTGACTGTTCAGTAGTTTCCAAGTGAGGAACAGTGTAGAGAAGTCTAGAGAAGCGAGCACTGCGCACAGCCTGTCCCAGGGGCGGGTGCTGTGGGCCGGAGCTGTGCTCCTGCCGTGCCCGCGGCTGTCACAGCGCGGGAGCAGCCGCCGTGCCCTCGGTTAGCGGCACCGGACGGCGCTGCCAGGGCCGGGACACTGTGCAGAGCAGCGCAGCCAGAGCAGAGCCCCGAAAGGCCGCGAGGAGCAGCCAGAGAGAGCCGCTGCTTTGCAAACCCCTCCAGGAGCACCAGTTGTGGTTTTTGAGGACTGTGTTTCATCACAGAAAATAAAATCTTTTGCATTTTGATAATTTGGCTTTTCGATTGATCATTTATAACACACCTGTGATGAATATGAACAAGGTCAAACTTTCTCTGGAAAAAGAGGTTCTCATTTATTAAAATAGCTACAAGGAATGGAATACCTAGGATAAGCCCAAGCACCCACACAGTGAGCCAAAAACGCTACCCACAAGTGCACTGGGTTCTCCCCCAAAAGCAACTTTCCAAAAAGAAGAACCCCAACCCAACCAAACTCCCCCCATTTACAGCCCCCTTCGAGTCCAGGATTGGTCCATTATAGATCCACATGGTGATTGGTCCATTTCCAGGCTCCTCATTGATCTTTAATGCTGTTCATTCTGGACCAATCATTTCTGCAGGGCTTTGAATGATTGGTCAGATCTTTCATCCAATCCCTCTTCAACCTCACCTTGCCCCACCAGACCACTGTTCCACCAAACCCTGGACCCTTCTAGAACATTCTCATAACCCCCCAAACTCTTAACAAATATAACATAATATATACAATAGAATTGAACTATACCCTAATCTAACATAACTTAACTTATACCTATAACACACCCATCTGTTTAATGTCCACCAGCTGAAGCTGGCTGCTCAGATAGTACATTCTCCTACAGCAGCAAATGTTCACCCTCAGTGTTCATTTCATCTCCAAAACCAGGCTGTTAGTCAGAACCCAAATCTTCAATCTGATCGTATCCAAATTCCTTCAAAACCTCCTCTCGATACTTGTCCCATGTTCTTCTTCTGTAACATTGGTCCTCATCACTGAAGCTCTCTTCAGAATCTGCAGAGAAAGCATCAACACTTCTAGATTATCCCTTCTTTTTACTTAAAAAATTAAGTTAATCAGACTAGTTTAAGCTTCTTGAGAAACTAACAAAGTCTGACTAACTTCTGTATGAGCAGGGGTTTGAACTATGCTTGAAGGACTCTGGGATAGAGACTTCAGAAGGCAGAGGCAGTGTTTCACAAGCATGTGGACCCAAGTCACGGATTCCTTCTGTAAGCAAGCAAACCTCTGCAATTCCAGCAGCCTCAATTTGACTTCTCAATTTTGTCTTTTCACAAGCACTAATTTCTCTTCTAGTTCCAAGAAAGAGAACCCTCCTCTACAAGCATTTCACCATTTTAAGAGCAGAATCCTACCCCAGCAGTGCTCAGTTAAGTTGCTTTTTTAGGGATAGCATGTAAAAAAGAGGGGATGTATACATGCACAGCAGGAAACCAAACAGCATTTATGACAGGTGTACCTTTTTCTCCATCTTCCTCAGGCAAGAATTCATCTTCCTCAGGATAATCATTACGCCAGTTATTTTCATCATTTTCATCATCTTCATCATCATACACTTCCTCTGGACCAGGATCATCATTTACCTACGTGTCAGCACAAAACACAATGCTGAGTGTCTGTGTTTATAGTGAATTTTCATCCAGCTGTGCAATACTGTACAGATCAGAAAGAGCCAGGAAATACTTATTGATGGCAGGCAGAAGGAATTCTGCAGTGACACAGGGCACACTGCAGGAGAATTTGGAGTTGTTACTGCATTCACCAGCACACTTCAAATCTGCTTGAGGTGAAAAATCAGTGAAGTCCCACATGTATGTGTTCCACTCCAGCATTTCAATGCTAATGTCTAGCTTAATCCTACTCACTTCAGCAGCAGTATAATAGATCAGGGAAGACAGAAAATAATTTCAGGCTCCCAATATACAAGTCTGTTAATCACAGGAACTCTACAACAGAAGACTAAACCCTACATTAAACTTCCTAACTCCACAGTCGCTGAAGAATTTACTATGAAAAAACACGTGATAGGAAGATTGAAGTCAAGTCTTCAAATAGTGTAAAAGTTGTGTGTTCCCCCTTGCTTTTTTTTTCATTCAGTCCTATTTACAATGCCATTTTAATGGCTGTCTCCTAATTGCAAGCAAGACATAAATGACACAATTTTCCTGTGCCAAAATGGAATTGTCAGTTTGAAACCAGAGAGATTCTTCTCATGACCTGAGCACCATCCCTTCCATTTTGTCATAGGATGTCCTGGGATCAGGAGTAACCTGCTGGAACATGGGACTGGCAGTTACAAAAGGGCTAACACAGAGGTCACTGAGCATACATGTAGTGTCTACCTGAAAGGACCTTTCTTGGCATGGCAACTTCCAAGAGCAGAATTTTAAACATCTTTCATTTGTGGTCTTTCTAATTGAGAAAGATTGGTTTTTCCGCACCCTTACCCATTCATATTCTTCTCTGTAGGGCTGTACAGAAAGGATATTTTCAATCCAGTCAGGGCCTGATGTTTCCTTATAGTAGATGTCATAAACATACTCATCTTCTTTGTGACCGTGTTGTTCTTTACCATCTTCAGAAATGTTTAAACGCTCACGGATCATCTCTACTGCATTGCAGAGGATTGCATCTGGATTGGTCTTCTGCTGAGAAAAAATGAAAAAACGTTTCCACTAAATTCATACAAAGTCTCATTTACAGCCAACAGTTTTCAGATGAAAAGAGAACTTATCCATCAGACCAGGGCAAAGGAAAATAGGGTGGAACAAGCCCTTCCTTAAGCAGCAGCTCTGCACACTGTCTTCTTGAACATTAGTGCATTCAGGATCCTCATGAAACATTGCAACTTGCTCCTTTAATAGGAGCTTTAACTAGGTGCACTAGTTAAAGCTCCTATTAAATAGTGGAATACTTAGAGTGCAATAAAACTGCCACAGCAGTCTGCCCACATGTGCCACTCAACAGCCATACCAAAGCACTTAAGTAGCCCAGGTTCATAGCTGACCTGTGGGTTTGCAGTGGTTACACTGGAATCTCCCACTGCCTCCTCTTCTTGTATAATATCAAACAGCTGGAATTTCCCACAGCAGTCTGAACTTTTATCCACAGCACCGCTCTCCTCTGGTGAAGCATCCTGCAGTGCTTCAGAGTCCAACCTGTCCCCGTGGGGCACGGCCTGTCCGTCTGTGGCAGGTGCAGCTGTGTGGGCGCAGTGGGGCCGGTGGCTGGAAATGACCCGGTACCGCTTCTCCTTCCTTTCCGCCTGCCTGGCACAGCGCAGCTCCTGAAGGATTTGCTGGGTGCTTCCCAAAGGGGGCCGCAGGCTCTGAGCTGCCTTGTCCCGTGTGATGGCATCTTTAACGTATTTCTGAACTGGTTCGTTCTGGGGGAAAGGAACAAAGAGGAGGAGGAATCTAATGAAAACATCAATATAGCAAGTCATACTCCTTCCTGGAAAGAATGAAGAACTGCAATACCAGTAATCCTAACAACATTCAAGTAATTTCTACTATGACTTGAAGCAACATAATCATAATATTCTTTTGTTATGAGGGGAGAAAAGCACAAGATATACAAGTCCTAAGATTATTTCAATTTGATTTTTAAACAACTTTGTGGTAGTGAATAGCTCTTCAAAGAAAAAACACATGCTTTTGGAAGACTGCAGCGGACCTAAATTTAGGGCACAATATCCTTTACTTTATCCAAAGAAGACCATTTCCCTATTCTTACTCAATAGAAAAGGCTGGATGGCAGCTGTTATCCTTGTAGGGCTGAGCTTCAGCATCTGTCTAGGCAGAAATTCAAGCTTCACTTACTGACTGTTGTGTAGTTTCCAAGTGAGGAAGAGTGTAGAAAAGTGTAGAGAAGCGAGTGCTGCGCACAGCCTGTGCCGGGGGTCAGTGCGTGCTGTGGGCCGGAGCTGTGTTCCTGCCGTGCTCGCGGCTGTCACAGCGCGGGAGCAGCCGCCGTGCCCTCGGTTAGCGGCACCGGACGGCGCTGCCAGGGCCGGGACACTGTGCAGAGCAGCGCAGCCAGAGCGGAGCCCCGAAAGGCCGCGAGGAGCAGCCAGAGAGAGCCGCTGCTTTGCAAACCCCTCAAGGAGCACCGGCCCACTCCGCCCGGCCCATTCCGCCCGGCCCGACCCGATACCTTGGAGGACACGGTCGCCACGAGCTTGAAGAGGTTGTTCTCCACGGGCTCGGCCCGGCGCCGCTTGCAGGCCAGGAGCAGCGCCTCGGCCGGCTCGGAGCCGCCGCGCTTCCGCCGCACACGCAGCACGGCCGCGCCCGCCATGGCGACTGCGAGAGAGGGCGGAGCGCCCGCACAGCGCCGGCCCCGCGGCTCGGGCTCTGCGGCGGCGGGCAGTGACGGCCGTGTCCGGGACAGGGACACGCGGGGCCGGGGCGGGCACGAGCGGCGCTCGGGGCGGATACACGCGGTGTCCGCGGCAGGCACACGCGGCATCCGGGGCGGGCACACCCACGGGGCTCAAGGTGGGCACACGCGGCATGTGGGAGCTGCCGGCCTGGGGCTCTGAGGAGAGACGAGCCCGCGGCTTCTCGGGCCCGCTGCGCTGGTTCCGGGCTGGGGATGGCGGGGAACGCTCCGGCCGTGCCCCATCGTAGCTCGTTCCTGAGGCGGGGAAGGGCCGGGCCTGTGCCGGTTCCCCCCTTGGGGACTCCGAGAGAGGCGCCGCCGCCGGCCTGATCCACTGAAGGGATGTTCTTCCATGAGGATTTACTGCTGTGTTGATTTCTTTCCTGCGTTGTGTTCTCAGGGGTTACATCTTAATGATCTTCAGGGTCCCCTTTCAGTGGAGGGCTAGGTGACAGATTTTAGCTTAAAACGTCCTTGTGAAAAAAGCATAAAGCGGTCACCAGTACTTCTGGCTAAGACAGATGTAGTGGGGGAAATGTACAAGAGCTAAAGCGATACTTGTGTTTACTAAAAGTTTTATACTTGATTTGTTTTTGGTTTTTTTTCACAGCCAGCATTTGGTGTATTCTGTTGAAGTGAAAGCAAATCTGCACACAATACATAAATAATACAATACGGCTTGAGATTGATCATGAAGACATTTTGTGGAAGAGCCAATCCAACCACTGGCTCGATGGAGTGGCTGGAAGAGGGTGAGGACTATGACTACCACCAGGAGATTGCAAGGTATGCTTGGAAAAGTGGCTTGTTCTATTAAAGGACACCGAAAAATGAGCAATTCCAGCAATTTTTTAAGGGCAGTTTGGGGGTCTGTCTTTGTAGAAGTTCCAAGGGCATGAGGTGAACCAACTGCAGAATAGTCTAAATGTCAGTAAATGTGCCCAATGGTGTACGGAGCAGAATTGTCAACGTAAAATGTTGTAAACCATTCTCCAAGTAGTTTCCTTCTAACTTTTTAAAAATGTTTTTTGTGGGGCTGATCCAGAAACTGACAGCGTCTGAGCTGGGACAAAATGCATTTACCAAATTGCTTTTAAATGGCAGTGCAACATGTAACTGCCAGTTGTCTGTTCTTGTTGTAGCTTTTTAAGAGCTTAGTGTAATAGCCAGCAAAGGTGAGAAGGTATATTTTGGGGTATTTTTGAGTAGTGGAGCCCATGAAGAAATGGGAACCAAAGAAGTTTAAGTCTCAGTGTCTTTCATTGCTGTGTATGACTCTATGTGTGTCTCAGGTGCTACTTCACAGCTGTTTGTCCCTACATCTGTCTATCCCTTGGGTCCATTGCTGTGGAGAGGATTTGTGCCAGTGATTCATGAGTTGATTTATATCCTGATGGCCAGATCACTGAAATTACATTATCCCTTAGATTAGAGAAACACTTTAGGTCTTCGAAGATTGTGTCAGTTTGTACATTTGTGGGGCACAGGGAGCAATTGCTTTGCAGAATGGAGTATTTAAACTGGAATATCTTTTTTTGCAGGTCACGCTATGCAGATATGCTTCATGATAAGGACAGAGTAAGTACAGAACCAAAACCCTTTTGAATGGTGGGAAAAGAGCCATTGCATTTCTCTTGAATAGCTGTCACTGAAAAAGAAAATGATCACATTTTTCTACTCTCTAAGGTACCAGACCTGCTCTTAAATCAACAGATGCCTTCTTACATCTGACTTTACTGTTCTGTTGTTTACTGCAGAACATTTTAATATTCAGTAGCCAGTTTTGCTGCTCTGTGTTGAACATTTTTGACAGAGTGCTTGTTAGATGAAATTTCAAAGGTTGTAAAAGTGGAGCTGGGCTTCTAAGTTTTATAGGAGTATAAGTAAAATCTATTCTTCTGTGGTATTTCTACCATATGGTCAAGCATGATGAAGTCTGGAGTGAATTGTTCAAATGTTCATTTTCCTCTAGTCATTAAGTCAGCCTTCCATCAATAACATTTTGAAAGATTTTTTTGGTGCCTCCACAATGAATATTGATTTCATATTGAATTAAAACTTGTCAGTGGGATAAGGCATTTAATAAACTGTGTAGAGGCAGCAGTTTTTATCTGAGTGATTAAAACAGCTACTGGAATTATATGTATCAAAGTTGTTGACTAGAATTGTTGAGAAGGGGGTCCAGCAGACCTTCCAGATGTATAATGTTCAAAGGTTGTATATTCCTTGGAAGGGCTTGATAAATCATTTGGAAAGGAATGTCTTACAGTAGGTTGTTATAAAGAAAATATAACCATATATATCAATCTGTACCTTGTGGCTGACAGCATTTATTTTCTTTCTGTTGTTGATGCTGGTGTGCTCACAGCTCCATTTAATGGCCTGTAACTAAAACCCAGGATTTACGCGTTTAATTCTCATGTATGAACCTTTTTGAGTAAATGAAGAGAGGAATCTAAACCAAGATATTTCAGCTTTTCTACTGCCATAGGGAGAATATGACTATTTGAGTGGTCCTGCAGGGGAAAATTAATCAGAAAACCTGTAGTATCTCCCATGGATCTGATTATTATTTACTTGGGAAAATATAATGACATTTGGAAATCATACATATGTTATGAATAGCTGATTGACCAATGGTAATATGAACATTGTGATAAATATTAATGTACTTTAAATGGGCTGGTTCTGTCAGTTACACTTGTTACTGCTGAAAATGGCTTTGGTGTGACTGCTTGGCATGAGGAGTGTCTGTAGGACTTTTTCTGATTATAAACTCACAAAGAGTGCAAGATTTCTGCACAAAAATTAAAAACATAAATGGATAAAACGATGCTGATTTTTTCTTCTTTTCCACAGAATGTGAAATACTACCAAGGTATTCGTGCTGCTGTGAGCAGAGTAAAGGAGAGAGGTGAGAAAGCAATTGTGCTGGACATAGGGACTGGCACAGGACTCCTGTCCATGATGGCAGCTTCAGCTGGGGCAGATTTCTGCTATGCCATTGAGGTGAGCATTGGTTAGGGATTGCACATGTTCTTTGTGATGCTAATATTTTCAGGTTGTGTACTATCTTTGTTATTTTTGTTCTGAATGAAACAGAAATACTTTTCACAATTACACTGTTAATACAAGCAGGATTTGGCATCCTTCAGTGAGTATTTCAGAGCTGGGTGTTTTGGTTTCATTGACATAGTGTCTTGAGCATGTGTAAGTCTTTAGGGGCTTCTGTTGATGCATGTATCGGTATCTTTATTTTTACAAAGAAATGAATTTGTTTAATGTAAATGCTACAGTATTAATGTGTATTCTTGTGTTTCAAAAGTTAAATTTGAGTAGCCTTTGGAGGCAGCCAATAACTAACAGGGAAGCTGTGAATTTTTCAAGTGAGGCTCATTGCCTTGTTTCATGGTAGTGAACTTCAAACATAGGAAAAGATAAGAATAATTTTTTTTCAGAACCAAATAAATTGCATTTTGTGTAGGTGCCCTTCCATTTTTGAAAGCTGACTTGAAGGGAACCATTTTGTTGCACTCTTGCTGTTCACAGGTGTTCAAGCCCATGGCTAATGCTGCTGTGAAGATAGTGGAGAAAAATGGTTTTTCTGACAAGATCAAAGTAATCAACAAGCATTCCACTGAAGTCACAGTTGGCCCAGGTGAGAAAAGTAGGCTAGGCTTAAAAAAATTGGCAAGTACCTGAAAACCATGAAGGAAAAGGTCTTACTGTTATTTCTTATACCTTTTTTTGATTCAGACAAGTGTGTTGAGTGCACTGAGGGAGATGGGATGGGTTCAACTTGGAGAAGAGGAGGCTTAGGGGAGCCCTCGTCTCTACAGCTGAAAGGAGTTATTGGGTGAGAAAGGTGAGGGTTGGCCTCTTTTCCCAGGTGACAGGATGACAGGAAATGGCCTCAAGTTGTGCCAGGGAATGTTTAGACTGGAGATTAGGAAAATTTCTTTTCACAGGAAGAGCTGTAAAGCATTGAAAAGGCTGCCTAGGGAGAGGATAGAATCAGCATCCCTGGAAGTGCTCAAAAACATGTGGATATGGCACATGGGGACATGGGTTAGTGGTGGACATGGTGATGGTGCTGGGTTAGTGGTTGGACTTCAGATCTTAAAGGTCTTCTCCAACCTTAAGGGTTCAGTGATACTTTACATTCTAGAAAGTAACACTGGAAATCTACTTTGGAAGAAAGTGTTCTGGTAATATTTCAGTAACCATTTGTATTTCAAATGGAAAATAATTTCCAGCCTTCAGCAGACTCTTTAACAGGAATAAGTTTTTAATTACTTGTGTATTCAGTAAAAGATTTAACATTCCAATGTTGATTTGTGTCTTCTAGATGGAGATATGCAGTGTCGGGCAAACATCCTGGTTACAGAATTATTTGATACAGAGCTGATTGGAGAAGGAGCTTTACCAACCTATGAGCATGCACACAAATACCTTGTACAGGTAAGAAAATAGGGAGTGTGTCACATCTATCACTAGAGAAATTCTTCTGCCTTTTTTTTGAAGTAGGATAGAGATTATACAGAACTTAGGCTTCTGTATCTCTTGGTAGATACACCATCAGCTCTGCTAGTTTCTTATTCAGTCAATAATTTCCTACATTCATTCCTAGAATAAAGCTGTTTGAGTTCATATTGTAAATCACAGGCTCTGAAAGTTCACCTAATTGCTTTGTGTTGAAACCAATAACTTGCTGGTTAACAAATGTCTTTCAGAAAGGCATCCATTTCTTATTTGACGCTCTCCATAATAATAACTTTGTCCCAAGATTTTTTTTAATTCTCCTAAATATAATGAGCTTCACCTCCCAGGCATTGATTCATTTTTGGTTGTTTATTTTTTTTCCTATTGTGCTCTTACTACTTCATATGCATTTTGCATGTGAAAATATTTTAAAT